AAAGTCGTGTAAACTTTATTGTCTGGGGGCTTCATCACCTGTAAAATGGCCCTCCTGGCCTGGGCTGCCAACACATCTGGGTCAGAACAGCTGGGAATAATTTTTAGTTGGAAAAATAACTTATGTGGAAAGGAGCATAAACTTTCATCATATGCTGGCTAGTTGTAACCTAAGGCCATGTCAGGGAGAAACTCTAATGGCTTGTTTTTCTATTTGGTTGAAGTCACACATTTCTGGGGCACATAAGGCACAATTTCCCAGGTGGCAGGTCCCCATAATAAAACTAGATCGCCCTATTAGCTTTCTTGAGTCCTTTACTAGTGGATTTTGGGAAACAGATGCTAAATGTTTAACAAAACTTATAGACAGCCTTGTTAGGGCTTTTTTTCCCCCCCAATAACCCTAAATACACAATGTGCCAGTTGAAAAAGCATTTCAAATGAATAAGTATGACTTAACAGAGATTAAGATTGTATTTCTTTTTTTTTTTTTTGGTACTGGAGATCAAACTCGGGTCCTTGCGCTTGCACAGCAGGTGGTGAAACCACTGAGCTAAATCCCCGGCCCCTAAAATTACATTTCTTAATATCAAATAATGCCATATAGATTTGGGTAACCAGATAACTGTGACTAGATATATCCAGATAGGAGAATGCACGAGAGAGGGACCTGTCCAGAAGCAGAGTAAAACCATATTTTAAATTTGGAATCGTTTATAGTTTTAATCATCAGATCTCCTGCTCTTTTTCAGGTTGAGAAAGCAAAGAGCATGAGTGGGCCTCAGTCCACAGAGTGTTTGAGAAATAGAGTTACACATGATTCTTATAAACTTCATCTTGTCAACTCTGGAAGTGCTTTCTGTTTGCCCAAAAGCCATGATAAAAGATTTGTTTTTAAAGATTTCATTTGAATTATTATTCAACTATTCAGTAAATATTTTATCATTTCTAATTTTCAAATTTTTTATTGTGGTAATATATATAACAAAATTTACCATGTTAACCCTTTTGAAATGTACAATTTAATTGCAATAAGTACATTTACAATATTGTGTAACCAATACCACCATTTATTTTCTGAACTTGATTTCTAATCTTCTAAGCTTCTGCAAGATAGAATACTTAAGCATTAACAGGGGAAAAGAGATGATTTTGCTGAGATCAAGCAATTGTTTGCTTTCTTCTTGCCTGGGAAGGTAGACTATTCCTTAGACTAGCTAATGCTAGGCTGTATCTGTCCACATATTGCTCTGTTTGAATTTTCCTTTTTTTTCTAGGAAGGTTGGAAACCAGAGAAAAGCTACAAATGTTTATAAATGGTCTGAATAGAAATTTCAACAGGACTATGTCTGGCATGGGAAGCTTTATGATGTTCATATTTGGAAGAAAATTGTTCAAGCCTTGCAATGATCAGACGGAATGTGTAGTTTAATACAGTAGGGAATGGATAAGTGTTTAATTTCTAGACTTCTTCACTTCAAATTGCATATTGATATTCTATAAAAGGAGGGTCCTTATAAAATAAAGTCTTGGAGTAAGTGTGCATTAAAAGAATTCATCAAGACACAGACCTGAGTAACTTTAGATTTTTTTACCTCCCTGAAGCTTGTAATGTTCAGACCTAGCCAGTTTGGTGCTTACAGAGCATTTCTCCCTCCTGAATGTCCTGAATGAGCATCCCACGAAGTCTTCTCAGCGGTCATAACCCAACTCCACATAGCAGCGAAGCTTCAGGTTCCATCTGGAGTATTTATGGCCTATTCTTGGCCCCAACTCTCTCACGGTTGTGAAAGACTCAGAATTGGAACATTTAGTTGTAAATAACCCTTAAAGAGAAAAATAGGAATGGGACTATTGATTTAACTAAATTTTTAACCATTCAAATTGAGATCTCCATCATTATAATTACGTGCATTTCAAATATGGCAAAATGTTAAATCATTATGGTTACTAATGGGTGTTGGATTTATTCTCTTTACTTTTTGGAATTGGCAGGGCTTTATAATCTCAAGCACTTGCATCTGTACATCTTTTGAAAAAGGCTTAATTATTGCCTCAGGACCCACAGGAAGATCTCCTAACGTTGCTCCAGGGCACTACAGCTTACAGTGAAAGAACGTTTTCAACAACTTCTAAAGATTGTCCCCATGTTGTCTGGTTTGGGAACTATAGTATGTGGATTCAGAAAATAAATTGTTCTGATTCTTTAGAGCTGGAGGCTTTGAACAGCATAATGAATATCCCTTAGTAATTAACATGCCTTGTTTGTTTTTAGTTCTTTTGAATGTAATCAAGGAAAGGAACAGAAAAGAAAGAAGTGCTCAGGAGGCCCCCAGAAGCACGCTGGCACTCTCACCAATGCAGCCTGAAGATGAATAACGCAGTGGGAGTATATGGCTAAGAGAGTCCTATTGATGTGTTATTCAATAACACTAGGAAACATGCTTTAGTTCAAAGCATTGTTTCTCTTCAAGTGTCTCCAGTCTGTATCTTATAGCTTTACGAAATGCTTTTGGTGATGCGAGAGTGATTTCAATGTACCAAGTGCCTTTGAGTAGTTGTGTAAGGGGATAAAGCTCGGGGAAAGAAAAGGGCAGACAGAGGGCATCTGACCACAAAGACTCCAAATTTCATTGGTTTGTGGAAGAATTTCTTGGCTGGTGCCTCTGGGAAATGGGGTGGTTTGCAGCAAAGATTCCCAGCCATAGATGTTCTCAATAACAAAGAGGTTTTTGGGATGTTGCGTTAGGGAGGATGCTTTTTTTTTTTGGTACTGGGGATCAAACTCGGGACCTTGCGCTTTCGAGGCAGGTGCCAGAACCACTGAACTAAATCCCCAGCCCAGGGAGGATGCTTTTAGCTGCAAGTAATCAGAGACTCAACTCAGGATGGCTTAAGCCATGAGGGAATTTATTATCTCACATAACAAATCCTTAAGTGGCTGAGGTCCACTGGAAGCATGCTAGGGTCCTGGCTCCACTCCTCTGTGGGTTTGTCCTCTTTTCTTTGTGGCTCCATCCTGCAGCACCTCTGAACATCTCATCCATTCACAGCAATGTCCAGTGGTCTGTTTAGCTCCAGTCTTGGCTGGGCAAATGTACATTTATTAGGGAGTCCTCATTCAGGAAGATTCAGGAATCTTCTCAACATGGAGGTGCAGAACCAACTACTTCAGAGAACCACTGAGGTTAAAAAGATGGAGAGGCACTAGAAAATTGAGAAAGGAATGTCTGTGGAATCCTTTCGGTACTTCAGCTTTCTCCTCTGTGTGAGAAACCGGCTTCCTCGGGTTGTTGTGAGAATTAAGTGACTCGCTGGATGCATATTTCTTACAACAGTGCCAGGCCCGTGGTAAGCCCCCAGGAAACGTAACGATTTATTATCATCTTTACCATTTACTAAGTCCTTAACTTCTATTCCTCATTTATAAAATGGGGACCATAAAAATGCTATTTGAGGATTAAATGAGATGATGTTTTGTATTAGTCAGCTTTCTTGTGGCTGGACACAATACCCGATACTTACAACTGCATCAGGAGAAGTTTAATTTGGCTCAAGACTTCCGTCTCTGGTCACCTGGCTCCATGACGGAAACGTGGTGCAAGGATGCAGTGCAAAGCAGGTCATGGTGACTGGGAAACAGAGCAGGAGAGGAAGGGGAAGGATGAGACACAGCCCAAGTGCCATGCCTTCGTGACCCACCCAGACACACGTGCAGACCCCAGTGCCGAACAAGTGGGCGTTCAACCCTAACTGCCACGCGTCTGTTTCATCCTCACATTGTCAGGCTCAGCTCAGGAGCTTGGTCAAAGTCACTATAATTTCATTTCCATTCTCAGTGGTTTTTACAAAGCTATTTTTGCTGCATAATATATTTGACCCCCATAATACCCTACTGAGAGAAAATTATGCTCCTTTTATGCGTGGGGAAACTGAGGCACAAAACAACTAAATGTGCCTGCTCAGCCTCCCTCCATAGGCAAATGGTAAATTCAGAAGTCCACACAGCAGTTATCTGGTGCTTTCTAGTATAGATGTTCCATATTTTGAGCATTTAGACAAAGGGTTTTCACGGCTGAAGAGGAAGTTTATTGAACAGATACACCATACTGGCTCAGAACTGGAGGTGTAATGAAAGCTTAGGGGAAATGCTTCTAAGTGGGATGACTTAGGACAGGGGTCTCCAACCCCACGCTATGGACTGGCACCACCAACTGGGAGCCTGGCAGGAATGAGGGTGCACAGCAGGAGGGGCGTGGTGGGTGACAAGGGAGTTTCCTCACCACCGGGGCGGTGCCTCCTGCAGGTCGGCTGCAGCATTAGGTTCTCCGGGAGCACGAACCCCACCCTGAACTGTGCTTGCGAGGGATGCAGGCGGCATGCTGCTTATGAGAATCTAATCCCGAAACCATCTCCATCCTTCCTGACGGAGCAGTTGTTTTCCATGAAACCAACCTCTGCTGCCCAAAAGGCTGGGGAACGCTGAGTTGAGGGAAAGAGGGAGGAAATGGCCAGGATGGAAAGTACCATTTCGAAAGACGTTCTCTGTATGGAAGAAGATTAGAATGATCCATGTGGTACTGGCTTTGAGTTGAAGACATCACTATGAACTCGTGTTTCACTTATTATAACTACGGATGGCTATGTCTTGAAATACTTGCCCATATATGTAAATGTACAAATTAGGATACCGCATGTATCTCCTTGCTGTGTCAGCAAGAGGGTCTAGAATCAACGATACCCTAGTAGGAATGAGCACGTCTGGCCCTCAGATTTTGGTTTCTATAGATAGGTCTATTCAGTTTGAAGCTCTGAACTGTGTGTGTGTGTGTGTGTGTATGTGTGTGTGTATGTGTGTGTGTATGTGTGTATGTGCGTGTGTATGTGCGTGCATGAGCATTACAGGTTGAACCCAGGGCTTTATGCATGCCAAGTACGCTAGCACTGAGCTACATCCCCCAGCCCCAGATATTTGTTTCTAATACCATTCTCTAATTAAAGGGTCCAGAGCAAGTGGCTGATTCTAGGTTCAAGACCATAACAAACAAGAGGAGTTGGTGGTACCAGAAAGTAAGGATTTTTTAATGGGGGGGTATGGTGTCAAAGGGATATAGGAGCCAGCTAAAAGGCTATAAGCCATGTAGTATTGAATTATAATTTAAAGTATAAAATGAGTTCCTATTAATATAAACAATTGAATAAATAAATAATAAGGGGAAAGAGACAAATTTCCCCTGCAGGAGAATTCCAAATAATTTCTGTATTGAACAATTCCTGGCCCCTGAAATGACTTCCTTTCAGAGTCTGGGATGAAAAGGAGGCAAGGGTAACTTTACAGTGGAGAAGCCTGGCAAACACTCCCTCTGCCAGGTGGTGGAAGCAAACCTCTTGATAGCAGGCACCTTTCCTGTTCCTGGTTCTCCCTCCAGAACCCAGAAACCCAGTTGAACCGTGAGAAATACATCCAATAAGCACAAATTGCAAAACACTCGATAATGTACCTGACAAGAGTTCTTCAGAACGGTCAAGGTCAGGCTCGGGTTGGTGGTGTGTGAGCGCCTGTAATCCCAGCACTCAGGAGGCTGAGGCAGGAGGATCTCTGCAAGTTTGAGACCAGCCTGTGCTACATAGTGATCTCAAGGCCAACCTGAACTATGTAGTGAGACCCTGTCTCAAAAAACAAAAATACTGCCAAGGTTTCCATAACCAAGGGAAGTCTGAGAAACTGACACAGCCACTGGAAGCCTAAGGAAACATGAAGTGAAATATAACGGTGTCCTGGGTGGGATAGAAGAGATGTTAGGTGAAAACTATGGAAATCTGAATAGATTAAGAACTTTTAGGGCCAGGTATTTAGTGACACCACGCCTGCCCAGAAAGCTCAAGGTCCTGAGATCCATCCTCAGTACGGGGTGTGGGGGTGTGTGGATTTAATAATAATGTCCGTGAGTAATGTTCTTGTGTTACTTTATCAGTTGTGGTGAATATACCATATAGATGCAGGATATTAACAACAAAGGAAACTAGGAGTGGAGTATACAACTTTTTGTGCTATCTTTGTAACTTTTCTGTAAATCTAAAGTTTATCAAAAAGAAAGCAATCAGGCTAGTATGGTAGTGACAACAATGAAAAATTTCCAGAAAGAAAAAAACAAGCACAGATGGGAAAGTACAAAACAAGCAGCAAGATGATGGATGTACACCCAACCATGTAATTATGGTCACTGTAAAAGGTCTAACTGCTCCAATTAAGGCCAGATACTGTAAGATCAAATGAAATAACAGCCAAGATCCAGTACTGTATATGCTGTCTAGCGATGGAAACCATGTTAAATTCAAAAACATCAGCTGGGTATGGTGGCACATGCCTGTGATCCCAGCACTCAGGAGGCTGAGGCAGGAGGATCACTGTGAGTTCAAGGCCAGCCCGGGCTATATAGTGAGACCCAGTCTCAAAAAACAAAACAAAACCCAGGCCCAAAACAACAAAAAACAAACCAACCCCCCAAAAACTCAGAAACATTAAAAAAAAGATGCCAACATGTACACTAACCAAATAAAGAGAAAGTTGAAGTAGATATATTAGTATTAGATAATATACAGATCATAAGAAGGGATATTACTATGGATAAAGAGGAAAATTCCATAATACAGGGATCAATTCATAAAGATGATATAGCAGGCTTTATTATATATGCACCTAGTAACAGAGCTTTGAAATAAACAAAACAAGAACTGAAAGAATGGAGAAATATAAAGAGATTTCAATCTTTTTCTCTTAGTAATTTCTAGACTAAGTGAAAAAAGAAGAAAATACACAAGATAAGTGAAGATAGAGAACACTTAAATCATTTTCTCCCCAAACAGTGAAGTACGTCTTATGAATAATATATACAATCTGGCTGTCACTTTTCCTGGTGAAAAAAATATTTCTACCTTTCCTTCCTTTCTTTCTTTCTCTCTCTCTCTTTCTTTCTTTCTTTCTTTCTCTCTTTCTCTCTTTCTCTCTCTCTCTTTTTTTTTTGATTTTTTGAGTCAGGGTCTCCCTTTGTAGTTCAGGCTGGCCTGGAACTCATGGCGATCCTCCTCCCTCAGCCTCCCAAATGCTGGGATTACAGGCATGCACCACCATACCTGGCTGTCTACCTTTTCATATAATTATGAAATCTCATATTGGATATAATTTCATTTTTATTTATTTTTAATTTAGTTTTATTAAGTTTATTGGTACATTTTAGGTATACAATATAGTTACATTCATCATTGGGATGGATATAATTTCTGATAGGTTGGGTTTCTGAATCATCTTGCTTTTTAAAAATTTGTCGCATGTGATCTTTTTTGTTATTTCCTTCCTGCTTCCCTTATCTATTATTTTCATATTCCCTTTATCTATATTACTGGTTTTTAGTTATGCCTCTTTGCTTTATTTTTTTAACAGTGGCTCTAATAATTTCAATATGCAACCTTAATTTATCATTGTCTATAGTGAATAAATATAGCACTTTGTGGATAGCATAATAGCTTAAAATACTAAAATTCCTTTATCTTCATCATCCCTTTGTGCCATCTGGTCATATATTCTACTTCTGTATTTCTGTTATATGTCCCACAATAGTTGCTATTATTTTTGTTGTTGTTGTTTTGGTTTGTCATTTTCATAGCTTGGGCTGGCCTTGGAGTCATTATATAGTCTAGGCTGGCCTCAAATTCATGGCAATCCTCCTGCTTCAGCTTCCAAGGTGCTGGGATTATAAGTGTGCACCACCATGCCTGGCTAGTTGCTATTATTTTTTTTTTGTACCAGAGATTGAACTTGGGACCTTGCGCTTGTGAGGCAGGTGGCGGAACCACTGAGCTAAATCCCTGGCCCTAGTTGCTATTATTTTTATCTAAACATTTAAACATATTTTAAAAATTAAAGAAAAATAGCATTTTATATTTACCCACTTATTTATGTTTTCTAGTGCTTTCTATTCCTTTCTATAGATTCAGGCTTTCTTTAATTTACAAAACCTCTAGAGATTGTAGTGATGTAAACAAAATGAACGGCCTGTTTGTTATAATTTGGATCTGCGGGAGACACATTGTCTCAGGTTTTGATTCATTAAAAATGTCTTAATTTATTTCTCACTTTGAACTATATTTTCATCAGATGTGGAATTCTGGTTTGACATATGTTATTTTTCTTTTTGCACTTGAACAGCGTTATTTCATCTTCTGGGTTTTATTAGTTCTGAGGAGAGTCAGAAATGTCCCCGGTGCCCCCTCTCCCCTCCACCTCCCCCAGGTAAGCAGTGCATTTTTCTCTCTAACTTCTTTCATGATTTTCCTCTCTATCTTTGGTTTTACGTGACTATGACGTACCTAGGAGCAATTCTCTTTTTATTCTTCCTTCTTGAGTTTTGTTGACAATTTGATGTCCTTTACCACTTTTGGAAAAATGTTGACAATTAGTCTTTAATCTTTCGATGATTATTCTCTTTTGTCCAATTTTATCTCTCCTTGCCTTCTGATATGCCATTTGCATGTATATTAGACTATTATGCTCCAAGTTGCTAATATTTGTGTTTTTAATATTTTCTCTATCCTTCTGTTTTGTAATTTCTATTGACTAGCTTTCAACTTCTGCAATCTCCTTTTCTCTTTGAATCCAGTACTCTAAGGAATTTTGTTCACTTTTCCTTCTCTTCTCTGTTCACTAGATTTAAAGAACCAGATAGATATATACATAGATATACAGATAAATACCTATCTTCCCTGTGACACTAACGATAGTCTTTTATGATTGCCTACATTTTAATTGAAAGTAGTTCCTAGACCATTGGAAGTCATCCAAGGAACTTATTAAAAAGGAATGTCTGAGAAATATCACCAAATACTAGACAATGTCTAAGATACTAAAATACTCCCTGGGTGATTCGGATGCAGGAGTTCCCAGATGCCCTTGGAGAAATGCTAATTTGTTGTTACAAGCTGAAGTCAGAAGAAGTATTTAGCATTTTAAAATGCAATCTAGCTTCAATTGAGAACTCCAGAAGACCTCCAACAGGGATATCAGATTACTTTACTTAATTCAACATTAAAAACAAAATAACTTATGGCCATTATGGAAAACAGTATAGTGGTTTCTCAAAGTAAATAAATAAATTAAAAAAGAGAGAACTACTGCATGATCCAGCAGTCCCTCCCCTGGGTAAGGAATTGAAGTCAGTATCTTTAAGAATTATCTGCAATCCCATGGTCTTTCCAGCATGTTCATAATAGCCAATATGAAGTCACCTAAAAGGGTCATTGATCTATAAATAAAGAAAATGTGCACATATATATAATAGAATACTGTTCCGCCTGTAAAAAGAAGGAAGTGTTATCATTTGGGACAACATCGTGAATCCGGAGAACTTTTGTCTAAGTGAAATAAGCCTGGTGCAGAAAGACAAAAACTATGATCTCACTTACATGTGGAATCTAAAACTGCTGAGCCCGTAGAGGCAGAGAATAGAATGTTGGTTACTAGGGACTGTGGTGGTTAGATGGTGTGGGGGTGAGAATAAAGACATGCTGATGAAGAGATAAAATGGTTCACTTATTCAGGATGAAGAAGTTTTTAAAATATATGGAGTACATGATCTGTGGAGTACAACACTGATAGTCAGGTTTCTGTTACTGCAACAAATACCTGAGACACTCAGCATATAAAGAGAAAAGGTGTATTTTTAGCTTATGGGTTCAGGGATTTAAGTTCATGGTCAGTTGGCTTTGTTGCTTTTTTGGCCTGTGGCGAGGTAGCACATCAAGTTGGGGGGCATATGGTGCAGCAAGCTAGTCACCTCATGGTAGCTGGGAAACAAAAGAGAGAGAAAATAGAAGGGGCTGGGGTCTTAATATTGCCTTCAGGGGCACACTCCCACTGACCTAAGACCTCCCACTAGATTCCAGCTTCTAAAGACTTTACTGTCTTCCTGGGGCCCCCCATCTAGGAACCCTTTAACACGTGGGACTTTGAGACATAGTTCTAATCCAGCCAGTAGCAAGCATGGTGATTATAGTTAATAATAATATATTCTATATCTGAAATTTTCTAAGAGATTAGATATTAAATGTTCTCACTACAAAAAAAAAGGTTTTTAGGGTAACGGATATGTTAATTAGCCTGACAAAAATCATTTGACAATGTATACATATATCAAAATATCATGTATCATAAATATAAATGATTTTCATCTGTCAATTTTATCTTAATAAAAGCAGGGAGGGGGGAACTTAAACCAACTTGTGCATATGGAAACAGACATGGCTTAAATTTGCCAAAAGCCAGGGTAGTTTCTCCATTTCCTATGGTATTGATTTCATGTTGGGCTGTGGCTCCTCACTGAGCAAGTGAAGACATAATTAGACTATCCAGGGAGACAGGAAAATCTTCAGTGATATGTCCTCCATGTGGGAAGGCAGGTTTGTATAAATCTTCAGAGAATCTCCAAAGAGGAATATAAATGATTGTGAACATTGAGATCTGCCGTTTCTCAATCAATCCTAAGATTCCATGGCCTGTAACAAATATCAAAGCTAAAGACTTTAACTGCCATATTACATAGCTATTGAGAAAGGACTCACCAAACACAGTAGAAGTTATACATCCAAATAAGTGCTTCTCTCTTCAACATGGTATAATACAAAAGGAAAAATAAGTCAAGTATCAACCCCACCCCATTGGTTTGGCTCCCAGAAGAGCTGGGTTGGAGATTCTGAGGCTAATCTAACTCATCAGGAGAGAGTGTCTCATTTACTGACAAGATCTGTCCTGAACATGGAAACATAAATGCTATATAATTGCTCTTCCTGGATTAAGAACTCTGGGTTTGAAGACTAAGGACTTAAATCTTGGCTCTGTGTCATTTACTAGCTATGTGATCTTGTGAAAACACATTTGCTGAGTTTTGTTTTCTTTAATGATAATTTGTCATAAAAATATTCCCACTTTCTATTTCATAGATATGTATTGCTATCCCCTTTGTAATTTACAAGCACTACTAAGCTGTTCTTCAGGGATGTTACTTAGTAGTCTAGGATCTTGTTCATGGTAGATAATACTTTGGGAGTGCATTTATAGGCAGTTTGAATAACTTGAGAAAAGCACTTTTATATCTACCTTACAGAATGATTAATTTTATGTGTCAACTTAGTTGAGTTTTTTTTTTTGATGTTTATACCCGATTTATTAGAGATCTCTTCAACGTAAAAAGAGGGGGTGTGGTGGGAATGGGGCAGGTGGGGCCTGGACCACATACGGTATTCTGTGGGGCCAGGGGCAGCTGTACTGTCAGAGGCGCCCACGGGTCTGGGCTGGAAGGACATGGCCTGGCTACTGGTGCCACAGGAAGCCATGCTCCGGATTGTCACACACCAGACCACAGGGACTGAGGATGAGGGACTCCCAGTGGGTTAAGACACCAGGCTTGCAGTTTTTTGTTCTGAAATGGTTCAACCACATGGAGACTGGGCCGGCCTGGGCAATGGAACCTGTAATCACCGGAGAGGAGGAGGTGTGTGTGGAGGGGATGCTCGTCCTGGTGGTGGGGGTGACAGAGGGGCTGTGGCAACAGTACCCTGGCAACGGACCCCGCAGGGACAGGAGTATTGCACTGAGCCAGGTGTGGAGGTGAATGAGGACAGTTGGGATGGCCTGAGGGGAGGGGGACAGGCTGAAAGGGGACACATGGAAATTCCCACCTTGCCAGTCTAAGAAAATGCCTCTCCATCTCTACAGTCCAGGGACTCAGACATTGTCCAGGGTCTGCGAGAGCAGCCGTCTGGAGAGGCGAGGCAGGAAGGAGCTGGGTCATTGGGATATTTACAGGTCTAACAGGAGTGGGGACAGCCGGGTGCACCCAGGGCCTCCCTCCTGGGGTCTGAGGAAAGTCTTGAGTTTGCCACATGTCATGAATAGGTCTCTCCTGTCTAGCCCACTGTGCCCGAAATGATAAGCAAGTGAGGCCCCTTGAAACAGTTTGAGGGACACTTCAGCATCCTTTTTGCAATACTCTGAAAAGGAATGAAACAAGCAGTCCACATGATGTGGATCCCCATGGGGCCTCTGGGACTTAACACAAAAATGGGAATGTTGGGCCATCCAGCCAAGAGGGCTGCAAGATCTCGCCGGCCCCCAGCGCTGCATACAAGCTGTGACTCACTGGGGGCCACACAAACCATTTTTTCTCGACAGTGCTGACTTCCAGACTCCACCTTCTGCAGTGGGACCACGTCCTTGGGGGCCTGGGCAAGGTGATGCTGCAGCTGTCTCTGGGGCCTGGACAAACCCTTTCTGGGGCTGGGGACCCCAATCGGGCTCCCTGGGATAGATCCTCAGAGCCACGGCAGCAGCTGGGTCCCGTGAGGGTCTGGGCGGGAATATGGGTTTCCTGTTGGTGGCTCTGGGAAGAGCAGACGGATCCCCACTATGTCCCCACTGCAGAAGGGACACCAAAAGAGGCCTGGACAGCTGGCTGACATCTTGCAGTGGGCTTAAAAAAAAAAAAATCAAATTCCTGGATGGGTCGGTGCTGATGCTGTTCTTCTGGGAGGTGTGGCTTCAGTTCCAAGCCCCTCCCACTGCCTCCCATGGGGCTCTGTGTTGGGGATCCGAGAGGGCAGGGCCTGCGGACCATCACCAGCATGCCCTCTCCCACCCTCTGGACAGTGTGGCCACGAGAGGGACACCCAGAGGAAACGCTCCTGGACCCGCCCTGTGGTGGCCGTCACGTGTGATAGCACCTTGAGCATCAGAAGTGCCCGCCCCAGGACACCTGCTCTCCGATCCTGCACCCCAAGGCCCAGTCTAGCCGCTCTGGAAGTCAGAGGCTCTGAGTCCGGGGACCATGAGGACCATGCTGCGAAGAGGCAGACAAGCCCACAGCCCTGAGCTCTGGCGGGAGGGGCGGTAGCCTTGGGGCAGGAATGTAACGACCTGGGCATTCTTGCTCATGGGCACCTAGGTCTGGGGATGTCCCACAACAGTGAGCCACTGGGGGCCACTCTGAGGATGCCCGTCCTGCACTGAGGCCCCCACACCTGAGCCAAGCACGGGAGGATCTGCTGCCGGGAGGGGCAGCCCCAGCACACAGGACAGCGAGACAGCAGGAAGAAGCACCCAGGGGCCTGTCCTGGAGTGGGAGCCTCACCTGGGCAGCCAGGCCCAGCAGCCCAGGTCCCAAGGAATGGCCTCGTCCCTGTGGGACACATGCAGTGGAGGCAAAGGACCAAAGTGCGGTGGCGTGGAGTGTCTTCCTTTTC